GGTGACCGCATTGCCATCATCTCCCATGGCAAGCTCAAGTGCTGCGGCTCCCCGCCCTTCCTCAAGAGCACCTATGGTGACGGCTACAAGCTGACAGTGGTGAAGAAGCAGTCGGACACCAGGAATGGCACAGGTCTGGGTGGCAGAGGGACTCTGTGTTTAGAGGAGTAGATGGGACCAGCCCTTCTTTAGCCCAGCAAAGAGGTCAATACCCAAGTGCTCTGACCCCAAGTCTCCTTAGGCCACGTGGAGGGCGGAGGGGTACGGGGCAGGGGTGTAGGAGGTGGCATCGCTCAGCCTTGATTTCTCCCCATCTGGGTCCCGGATTAGACCCTGTGTAGTGGCATTTGCCTCCAGGTGCTGGTTCCGTCCGGCCTGCGGGCTACCCACCAAGATACCCAGAGTGGGCCACGGTGCAGTACACCTTCCCCAGGCCAGGCAGGGCGGCTGGGAAGCTGCCAGCACCCCGCAATGGACACTGAAGGAGCCCCCGCAGCACTGGGGTGTAAGGGTGGACGTGGTGGGTCCTGGTGGGAGGCCGGGTGAGAAGTGACTGACCAGTGCTGCTCCTCTGCCACAGAGCCAGGCCAGCCGCACAGCCCCCCGGCCCACTCCTCTGTCAGCCCCTGCTCCGAGCCCCGCGTCTCCCAGTTCATCAAGAAATACGTGGCCTCCTGCCTCCTCATCTCTGACACCAACACTGAGCTCTCCTACATCCTGCCCAGCGAGGCCGTCAAGAAGGGCTGCTTCGAGAGGCTCTTCCAGGTAACCGCGGGGGCTGGCGGGGTGGGCAGGCAGGTGATTGTGGGGGGCCACGGCGCTGCGGGCACCTCCTGCCCTCCTCATGCAGCGCTTTGCCTCTGCAGCACTTGGAGCAGAGCCTGGAGGAGCTGGACCTCACCAGTTTCGGGCTGATGGACACCACGCTGGAGGAGGTCTTCCTGAAGGTGTCCGAGGAGGACCAGTCTCTGGAGAACAGCGACGTGGGTACGGGTGGCGGGGGGGGACACACAGTGCTGCTGGGGCTGGAGAGGGGCTGTGTGCCTTTGCGTGGGCTTGGTGGCTCCTCTCCCCTTGCGCGTTGCCGCAGGAGTCTCCTTTCCCAAGGGGAGGAGTGGTCTCCAGCGGAGCCCAGCCCGGCCAAGGGCAGCCGGCCTCTGCTCCACTTTGGGTTTGCAGAACAGATCCGTCCCCGCTCCGTGCCACGCCACGGTGAAGGGTGGCATGGCCAGCGGCAACCTCTCTTCTTCTTCCAGACATGAAGGAGTCCAAGAAGGACGCCCTGCGGCCACCTGCCCCTGAGTTGGGCCCGAAGCCAGAGGCCAACGGGGAGCCCCTGGCTGAAGCAGCCGTGCTGGAGAAGCCCGAGGTGGAGCTCAGCAACCTGGTGACTTGCTCCAAGCTGGCGCAGTCACAGGCATCCCTGCGCTCGGCCTCCTCGGTGGGCTCCGTGCGGGGCGACGAAGGTGGGGCTTATTCCGAATTCTTTGGGGATTACGCACCCCTGTTCGATAACCGGCAGGACCCTGATAACATCAGTCTGCAAGGTTCGTGCCGCCGGCGCCCAGCCAGCGGCAGGGTCTGGGGGAGGTGCTCAGCTGGGACACGGAGGGTAGCCGGGGCGGTGGTAGTGCCCGTCCCTGCACCTGGGCAGGCGGACATGCTGGGGATGGGGGGCCATGACTGCTGGGGCAAGACCCCGCAGGGGGTCTGATAATGCATCCACTGACGCTGTGCCCAGAGAACCGCAGGCTGGGTGGGAGGGCTGGAAACAGGTGCTTCCACCAGTTTGCACCCCCAAACTGGTAGCACGTGTGTGGGGGAGTCCCATGCTGAGACACAGAGCCAGTGGGCACAGGCACAGCTGGCATTAGCTCTGCCCTTTGCCTCCCTCGGATCCCACGAGTGCCACCCTGCAGACTCGCCCCACTAACGCGCTTGCTCCTTGTGCTGGCGCCTGGTCAGGTTGTCTCCTCTTGGCCCTTGGGCACGGAGTCATCTTTCAGCTGGTGGCTTCGTCCTCCATACCCTGAGCCAGGCTCGGGGCTCTCCCTGCCCAGATGCTGGGGTTGCTGGAGGATGGAGGATGCAGGCAGGCGCCCTGAGGCTGCTGTTTTATTCACGAATTCTTTTTTGGGTTATCCCAGCAGCTCCTGTCGTGATTAATTCAGGGATGTGCCACCCTGCCTCCCCGGCCAGGGCTGCTCTGAGCATTGTGATTTGGGTTGCAGGAGGCAGAGCCGAGACAATGCCGCGGCACAGCTCCCTGAGCCCCAGCCCTGCGCCCGCTGCCTTGCAGGCCCCCCTGCCCATGTCCTGTCCCCCGTTCTTGACTGCTGACCGCTCGTCAGCTGGGAGAGCTGATAGGAAAATGGACGGGTTCTGCCAAAAAGCACCAATTTAGGTTGTTTTTTTAAAACTATTGTCTAAGTTTCCCATTTTGGGCCAAGAGGAACCTGCCAGCCAACTGCCTCGCTTCATACCACGGTGCTGCTGTGGCTCAGTGGCCGTCAGGGTTGGGTGCTGCCCTGTCCCTTGGGGTGGCTGCGCCCAGCTCGGTGCTCAGCTCCCCGGAGGCCAAGGCAGGTGTGGGAGCAGCTGTGCCGGGGGGCTGACATCATTCTCCCCTCCCAGAGCAAGAGGTGGAGGTGGAGGCGGAGGACCGTGACCTGGCCGGGCAGGGGAGCTTCAAGCTGGAGGGCTCGTGGCTGAAGCTGCGCCAGTTCCATGGGCTGATCGTCAAACGCTTCCACTGTGCCAAGCGCAACACCAAGGCCCTCTTCTCACAGATCCTTCTGCCCGCCTTCTTCGTCTGCGTGGCCATGACGGTGGCGCTCTCCGTGCCCGAAATAGGTGCATGCGAGCCACCCACCCGCGTGCTGGGGGCTACTGGTGACCCTTTCTGCCTGCCCCAGTGTGGCCGGTGGGGACACTGGCTGGGGGGAGGATGACAACAAGTCTTGTGGGCGCTTGGCCAGTCTGCCTGTGCGCGGCAGTGCTTGCAGGTGCGAGTGGGTTCCTGTCCTTGTCCTCGCAGGTGATCTGCCGCCCCTCATCCTCTCGCCATCGCAGTACCACAACTACACGCAACCCAAGGGCAACTTCATTCCTTACGCCAACGAGGAGCGGCGTGAGTACCGGTGAGAGCTGCTGCTCGCTGTTGATAAGCGTCCCATGCCCCATCCCTGTCTCTGTCCCTGGGACTGCGATGGGGGGCAGCAGGGAGGGCAGCCCACAGTGGGGCTGGCGCCAGGGCTGGCTCAGGCTTGGAGCAGAGTCTGGCCGGTGCCTTGTCCCCTTGCAGAAAGCAGCCTCCATCCTCCCCAGGGTGTCTCTAGGAGAGGTGCCAGCCCTGGCGCTGGCTGCGATTGGCAGCTCAGCTCATGCCAGGCATGGGCTGTTTGTGCCCATTCAGCCATGATAAGTGCCAAGGCCTCAGGGAGGACCACAGAAGATGGCCAAGGTGGTGAGACCCATGTCTCCTGCTCCTTGCTCCTCTTCACCTGCTCCTCTTCCCACAGCATCAGGCTGTCTCCCGATGCCAGTCCCCAACAGCTGGTGAACACCTTCCACCTGCCCTCTGGCGTGGGGGCCACCTGCGTGCTCAAGACAGCCTTCAACAACACGCTGGACCAGCCCATGCAGACCCTCAACCTCAACAGCAACGAGTCCAAGATGCTGGCGGCCAAGTACTTCGACGCCATGTGCATCGACTCCTTCACCCAGGGCCTGCCACTCTCCAACTTTGTGCCGCTGCCTCCATCCCCAGCTCCCTCCGACTACCCCATCTCAGTGGATGAGGACCTGCTCCATGCCTGGAACTCCACGACCTTCTCCTCTGCCATCAAAGGTATCATCTGCGCTTGGTGCTCAGGTGTGTCCAGGCCTGGGATTCATCTCCGGCAGGGAGATGATATATCTCCCCTGCAGAAGCAGCTCCAGGGACCCCTGGAAGTGCCTATCAGTTTGCCCTCGCCACAGCAGAGCATCGCATTGCTGGGCTGAAGTTCTGGCTCGGGGCTGGTGGTGGCCCTGGAGCACCGCTCCCCATTTAGCCCCGGCAGTGCCAGTCGGAGCTCCCTGGGATGGTGACACCATCGAGAGCCCTGTGGCCAGCCTTGTGTCACCCTTGCTGGGCCGCGGTCCCCAGCCATTGCCTTCTCCAGCCACACTTCATGCCCCCTCTCTGAACCATTTCTGTCCCCCCAAAGTTTTTCCCCACATCCATCTCTTCGTTCCTCTTGGTCACCAGGACACAAAAGCCCTCTCGCAGACCGGGCTCTGGCCATGGGGCAGAGTGCTCCCTCTCTGCCCAGCCAGGACGCCTCAGCTCAGCCTCTCGCCCCCATGTTGTCCCAGGCAGCTGGGGCAGGCAGGAGCCTGGCTGTGAGCTGCCCTCTCTGCTCCTCAGAGACCGTGACCTCAGCCCCTGCCCTGCCCCGCATCGTCCATGAGCCCATCAAGTGCACGTGCTCCATGCAGGGGACTGGCTTCTCCTGCCCCAGGGGCGTGGGGGGCCATCCCCCGCAGATGAAGGTGGTGAGGGACATCCTCCTGGCAGCCATCACAGGGCGCAACGTCTCCGAGTACCTGCTCTCAACCTCGGACC